CTACAACAACAACAACACTCTCTCTCTCTCTCTCTCTCTCTCTCTCTCTCTCTCTCCATCAAAGAAAGAATTTCCCACCTCAATAAAAACTAGAAAATTAAATACTCTCTCTCTCTCTCTCTCTCTCTCTCTCTCTCATATGTTACAGTTAGGCTTTGCCCCATGTAAATCAACACTTACTAAGTTTTTCACATAAACAAGAGCAAACTGCCATGATAAATCTTCTACTCCGTTCTTCATTATGCTGAAGAAAGACCAATCAATTCTCTGACTTATGCTAGGAAAAGAAGCAACGTGCTTCTAGTGAAATAGAAGGAAGCTTCTCAAAACCCAAACTGAAGATTAGGTCATATAGCTTTTTTTTACCAGATCTTAATGGGTATTCTAAAGATGGATGATCTCTCTCTTTAACTTTAGAAGACCTAGCCTCTTCATCTTCCATTGCATGCTCAAACTTCATCGGCATTAGCGTGTTTTATACTTCTCAAACACCCTGTTATGGTTAGCTGACCACCAGACCTCTGCCTGCCTCTCTGCAAACCTTTTCTTGCTGCATAGCTCCCAAAAGAGAAAAGAGAAAATGAATCGGCTTCAAATGAATTGAAGTCAATGAGCATGCAAGTGTCCAGTCCATAAAAGATCTTGGGAAGAGAAAAAAAATTTAAGGGATTGATCTATATACATCATACAAGAAGTGCTTCCTTGTAACAATTACAATGCAAGAGACTGCATATGCAACATGGAGTTTTTGTGTGTGTGTGAGAGAGAGAGAAAGAGAGATCAATAACTCTCCAAGGACATTCTCAATCTCCTACCAAGAAAAGAATGTGACTGTCACACATATGCATGAGAGAAAGGTATTTACCCAAAAAAAAAAAATGCATGAGAGAGAGAGAACACAGCATCAAGGCATTCACAAACAACTCCAATAATAAAAGAACCAAATAGTAATAAAAACACAACCAACCATGAATATCGACATAATTTAGCAACCAGATAAAGGAACACAATTATTCCCTAGAAGGCCTAATTCCACCATGTCGAGATCAAACACGAAACAACATTAGTCTGTGTCCATGTGATGCAGGTTTGCTTCAATGGAAAACCATATCATCAACCAGAATTCAAAATGTACCTGAATCTCACTCGTTTGAATATTTTAGTGCCATCCTCTGATAGTACGAAAGTAATGTATACACCAGGTTCGAACTGCTCAGTTTTTTGAGTTGAATCCTTAACCTTGCTCCCTTGAGCCTCAGTCTCTTTGTCCTCTGAATCAGCTGGTGTCGCACTACTAGCAATCTCACCTTCACCACCATTTGGTGGGATTGGATCAGTATCATTGGTTACAATTTCACTTGATTCATCCATCTTTTGATCTTGATTGTCATCAAGATGTTGATTCTCATTTCTCTCTTCATTATTCTCCATTGGGTTATCAATTAAATTTTGCTGGTAAAGTTCAATAGAGTCAACTGCCATAGGGGAAGAAGAATCTACAGAAGGTCTTCCTTCAGAGGATTCTCCATGAATAGCATCAGGAGTTGCAGGCTCATGATTGCCACCTAATATGTCTCCATTTGGTAAGTCCATCAAAGTACATAGGTTGCTGGTGTCATATATGCCAGGAGGCAATTTCTCTGCCAAGTCTTTCAACTAAAACAGAAAATTTCCACTAGTAAGAGATCTTGTTGACAAGAGACGTACAACAGTGAGAAACAGTTGCAAAGATTTTCATCACGAAGAAAAAAAAGCAGTAAAATATAGCATGTATTTCAGGAAATATGTATTTCAATAATGACCAGTATTCAATGCATGAACCCTTTAAAGGCACATATCCAAACGTTTGAAATTTTATTCTAATTTCAATTTCCAAACAATGTAATCTATTGATGCCCAAGGCAATGCAAGCACTTCTCCCCACCAAGCATAGAGATGTACTATGATGGTTTAAAATATTTGAATGGTGTGAACTTTCGATGCCTCTCTTTTTTCACTTGTTCAAATTCAGTATTTGTGTTACCACATACTCAATAAAAAGACTAGATGTCCTGTATATGGTTATATAGTCAACAATGTGGATTAGAAAGCAGAAAAAATAAGTGGCAAAAAAATTCTGATTTCTTAGATTCTGTATACTAATCCTGGAAGCATCACATTTGATGAGTACATAAAAAGTAAATGGACAAGCTACAGGTACAATCTCACCTGAGAAATTAGGGACTTAATGACTTCCTTTGCAGCATTACACTTTGTGGTTTCCTCTGCAGCTAATGCTTGAGCTTCCCTAACCGATTTCTGCATCTTCTCATCACGAACTTCAATCTGCAGTTTTAGAGTCTTGACCTATACAAGGAGAGAAATAAACAAATAAACGCCAAAAATAACACGCTCAGAAACACAAATTTTGGATTCCTTGTTTGTCAATGAAGTTTGAGGTACCTGTGCTTGCAACTTTGACACTTCTTGGTTCAAAAGTTCATTTTTTTTCTTAAGGCCTTCAGCGGTGTTTTTTGATGCTGAAAGGCCTCCTATTGTTGGAAAAGGTGTCACCGAACGAGGAGGACTCGGCCTCCTTAAGGGTGATGCTGACCTTGGAATAATCACGGGCTGTTGAATTGGGCTAGCAGTTGACTTCGCAACTGGTGAATTCACCCCAATTGAAAATGAAAGATCCTTCAACTGCAATAAGGAAGGGATCGGGGAAGTTCGAATCAGAGAAAGAGAATCAGGTTTCTTCCCTGATTTAATCGATTTCACTTCAAGAGACTTGGCAGGTTCAAAGCTACGGGGTAGTATAATCTTTGAGGATTTAACCTCCCCCCTGTCTGTCCTGTCTTTTTGGTCAATTGAGCGCCGAAAAATGTTTGTTTTTCTATCAACACTAAATGAGCTACTAGCTTCCGATGCTTTCTTAAGTTTTGAATAACAGGTATCACATACACGATGTGGCTTGCCAGGGTTTGGAGCTAATGCGGCTCTCAGAGCTTTCTTAGAACTACATGCATGGCAGTGAACCAGTCCACAATTATAGCAATTATGTCTCTTCCTAGTAAACCCAAATGCTTGTCGGCATCCTGTGCATAGAGATTGATCAGTACCTGAAACCCACTTGTGAAGACAAATTGTCGCTGTGAAATTTGACCCACAGGTAATACTCTTGACATGCCTGTCTTTTAAAGCTTCAACAAGTGTAGGTGTCTTCCTATCTTCAACATCTCCATGCCCGAGTCTCCCATTTGCTCCCTTACCCCATGTGAATAATTCACTTCTTGAAGTCAAAACTGCAACATGATATGACCCACAAGCAATTTCTTCAACTAATTCACCCACCAATCTGTCTTGCACTAAGCAAGGTAATTTCCCATCAGACTGAGGATTACCAAGCTGGCCATAAACAGTGCTTCCCATTGTGAAAACATGTCCAGATGTTGTTAGGCCAATAGTAAGATCATGACCACAGGCTAGTTGGTGGAAATTGTATTCAATAAGTGAGGGAACACAAGTGGGGACAAGGCGAGGATCCTTGTCTCCTTGGCCTAGACGGTTTTTATCCCCGTCTCCCCAAGTGAACAATTTCCTAGAGAGAACATTTGCACCTGATTGTGCCACAATAACCTCCACGATAGCTGCTGTATGCCACACTCCACAAGCAACTTTGGAAGTCTTTAATCCTTTCAATGATTCAACCTCCCTTGGGTAGGCCACACTCTCTCTCTCACCATGGCCCAAGACACCAAAAGTTCCATCACCAAATGTGAATAGCTGTCCAGTGGAGGTTGCCAAGGCTGAATGCCATGGACCACAAGCCACAGATGTCACTTGTAGTCCTTCCAAAGGACCAAAAACTCTCTTGGGTATCCAATGACTAACATCGTTTCCATGACCAAGAAGTCCAGCGTTGTGAGTGCCATCGCCCCATGTGTAAAGCTCACCTGTAACTGTAACAGCACAAGTATGATACTCACCACAGGCAACAAAATCAGCATTGCAAAGAGCCAAAGACTCGACAAGTTGAGGTTGGCTGGAATCAGCATCAATCCCATGGCCAAGCCGACCCCCAGATTCCTCACCCCAAGTGAAAACTTCTCCTTGCCTTGTAACTAGAGCAGCATGCCTGACACCGCATGCAATATGATGAACATCTAAAACTACATTACATTCTAAGGGCTTTGGAAGCAGCACATCTGCTTTTGAACACCCAGAGTTGGGAGCTCCATCAACACCATTTTTTAAAGAACCATCACACCAAACCTCTCCCCAAACGTAAACATCACCTAGTGATTCAATGTCATCTGGTCCAGAACCCTGACTAGATGAGCTAGGAGCACTTGAAACACTATGCCGTAAATTATCACCTGTTCCCCCTCTTAGTAGCATATTTGAACGGTCTGTCCCTACATCTGATCTTGCCGCAGTAAATGAAGGTTCGCGAGAATAAAAATCAATTATGGCCTTTGTGTTCAGATTGCGATGTGTACTTGAAGAATTGATTCCCAGTGTGGCACCAAAGGCACGATGGATTGGACTATTTTGATTCAGGTCTCCACCTTCCTGGAACAATTCATCAATATCATTAGAACAAGATTACAAACAAAAAACAAATATTTAACCACTTACTGAATCTATGTAGATAGAATTGAGACAATAATGATAAGGGAAAGATGTAAAACACAATAGTTAGCTGACATGATCTATGTCAAGAATGAACAAAGAGTTTTGGACGAGTACACATGTTGATAAGGAAAAGAGTGCTTAAGGAGTAATTGCATTCTCATCAAGAAAAAAAAAGAAACATGTATTTCACTTGGAAAATGCTCGGAAACCGAGATGAATAGCTAATCAAACTCCTAAGAGCTCCATGTTTTGCAAAACTTTGCAACGAAGAAAATAATTATAGATGTAAGATGACTTGGAGGAAGAAGAAACAGAAACAGACTTATGTCCAGTAACGTGAAAAACAGTAGAAGGTCTAGAATAAAAAGTGGATAATGACCACCAATCACAAGAGACAAAAGAAATATCTGTTATTTCTAAAGGTCATGAAGTATCAACAATGATCAAAGAGCAGAAAGCCATAGATACAATGCTATTCTTCTTAGTGCACAAGGAATAAGACGATGACCAAGAATATATAAGACAGTTGTTTAAAAAATCCAATACTCGGAAACATTGCCAATTTCAGTCTAGATAAGCTACATATTGAAGACTTGATTGAGAAGATGTAATTATGTCAAGCTGCAAGCTAAATATGATATGACATATCTATAGATTGCAATCGTATGGGAAATTTTGACGAACTATACAGACTAACCACTGGAAAAATATAAGAAAGGTTTCCAGTAGTAGACAATCCAATATTATAAAAAGCTACTAATTTGTTTCTGCTTGAGCTATCTATTGAAGATCTGATACGGAAGACATGATCAAGCAACAATTGAAAGTTGATTTTACTTATGTAGTAATGGATTGCAATCTCATGAGAAGTTTTAGAGGGCTATACAAACTAGCGATCCACATAACATGAGAAATGTCTATTCCAATAACAGTAAGATACAAATCCTTTAATGGTTCAATCAAACAACTGTTTAAAGATTGTCCTAATGGAAGACTTCCATCTACTCAAGAAATGTTTTCACTACCTTATTATGGTATATCTAGCTCTTCAAATGTACATAGTAAATGGTTATGACTAAGGTAAAGAAGATGCGCAATTAAAAGGATTTAAAAAGAAAAGAACATGCAATTGGACATCAAGAACTCTAAAACTTTAAATTCTGAGTAGCTCCTATGCATAACAAAGGCAGACCCTTGTGGCACTTAAAACTAGAAAATATAGATAGATGTCTCACATCAGAATAGAGTCCTTCACTATGAGCGTCAGTCTTATTACGTCTTCTTTGGCCAGTTGAGATCAGTGCCTTGAGGCCTGTAACCCACACATCTGTCTCAACTTGGTCCTTGCAAATCTATGATGCACCAAGAGAAGGGTCACTCAAAGAAATTTGGCCAAACAGAAAACAAGATGCAATTGCTACACATAACAAGATATAGTTCAAGCTGGTGACAGTTCTCTTGTGCTATATAATGCACAAGTTGGACTAACCAAATCAAGAGTTCGTTCACCGTTGTTGTATAATAGAGAGAACGACAAATAATCCTTTTCAGGACGTAAATATCTTCTAAAAACAGCCTGTAAGAAACAATGGGCACACCGATCGATATGCAAGTTTCCAGTCAGTAATCATCCAAGCAATGCAGGCATATTACAGCAATAACAAGGGCAGAAACATCTATGGCAATCACAATATATGCATTCAATATTCCAAAAGGTATAGATTCTCACAGTTCTCTGTCCAGGGATGATCTTTGACACTGTCTCTAACTTCAAGTGTCTTTCCTCCCCATGTGAATACCATACTAATGATGTTTCGTCCTATTATAACCAAGCAAGTAGCAAAGTCAAAAATTTAAACAAGAAGATGAGATGTGCTACGTTTAAGAACTAAGCAATTGAAAGTTGGCCAACAAACTTCGTCAATAACTAATCAATCGAGCCCAGGAAGGATCCTAAAAATCATTGCATCTCTTAAACTTGTAAGTACAGGTGGGTCTCAAACTTGAGGTAGTTCTTTTGTGGGATTCACTCTACAAGTTGGAAATACCTCAAGTAAAGGCCTTCAAAATTAGCAATTATGCATGACAAAAATAGTCAAATTAATAAGACCCACTTAGTACAATAAAATTTGTTCAATCCGTTGAGAAGTGGATTATAAATGATCCCCTATGCAACAACATCATGTGTGTCATGCACATTTAAGATAATCCGACATGCCAATGAACTACATGCATGTCGACATGAAGGAAATGCATAATAGGCATGGGAAATCCCTCTCAACATGCATGTCCAAATATTTTCATTTTTTGGAGTGGCAGCGACAGTGTGTTTGCTATTTGGACACACGAGTACACAGATTGGACAAAACAAGACATGCTATCCATTTTGTAGGAGACATGTTTCTGCATTGTAAGGAACATGTATCCATTTTGTAAGACATGCACAAAGCATTTGTCTTGAGGTTAATATTATTATTGAAAATTCAAACATTAATTAATTAATTTTACACTCATATACACACACAGATATTGTATGGACTTGTAGGGATGTGCTATACTGGACTTGGCAAAATAAAGGTAGGCAAGACAGATTCTTTATATCTGATTCAAACATGGATTGTCGTATTTCTGTCCTTGTAACATAGTTCTTTCACTTTTACCATTCTAGAACTTTCACATAGTAAAGATTCTGAAAAATGTAAGCTCTATGGTATATCCTCCACTATAAGACAAACAGAATAGTGAATCAGATAGAACAGTGAACTTACAGCAGAAAGTCTGAATGGGCAAAATTTAGGCTTCCCCTTCCGACCATACTTGATTAGATGTGTACCTTTCTTCAAAGCAGTAACTGCCTACAAAAGGATAGAAAAAGATATAGGTTCAACAGTTTACTTAAGAAAAAATAATTGAACATTCATCTACCACAAACCAACCAAGAAAACAGGAACCAAACAACCTAATCATGCATCTCGTCAAATCAATATTTTACGAATCTATACATCCAACCTCCTGAAAAATATTGTGTTATTGCAAAGGCATCCATCCTTCATTATATTGAAACTCTTCCAAAATCCAAGGAGCTTACATTTTTTTCAGGTTCATTACAAAAGGGACAAATAGTACCCAACAATGTTATTAAGATGTCAAGTTACATAGAATAATAAAAGAAGTCTAGGCACTGCATTAATATCAAAAAAATACCTGCGGTTACTTGAGAGAATCATCTTCCCATATCTTCCATATCAGGTAAGAAATATTGCAGGTTATTTAATGCACATCAGAGTCATTTCAGAAAGAGGTAAAAAGAAATAATGCAACTTTACCTTGTCATTTCAGATTTGTGTGCAGCCAGACTTAATTATTTTATCTGTGGCCTACTGCCTATAGACAAAATCGCCTTTCACATGAACTACGTCAAACTGAAACTAAATTGAAAATGAAAAATAACTCCATAGATTCCGCAAGTTCATACAAACTGGTGTTTAGTAGATAATGCAGTCCAGCAGATGCCTTCCACAATGGAATAAAGCACACAAGCAGATCATTCTGCTTCTACTTTGTATGTCCATGTCCCTTGAGAGAAAGGAGATGAGCAATAAGCAATATAAGAATGACGAAAATGTCAGATTCATAATGAGAACTACTAGTGAGAATCAAATAGATAAACCACTGGCATACTCTTAACCCTAGGAGACAATAAATGAATATCAGACACATGCATAACCAAAATTTCTGCAAAAAAATCAACTTGTTGCATCTTAACAATAATGAAAACTTCTCCTATTTTGCTTTAAATTTTAGGGATAAACAGAATCAGCCAAGTGCTCAAGAGCTTGATTTACAAATCGTATCTTGAGTTGATTGGTTGGGAAAAGCTTGAAACTTGATCTGTACAGTGACAAGGCTATTGTTAGTGCCAAAATAATATGAACATGTGCCCCAAAGTCATCAGAGAATGATTGAAGGGCATCGTTTTTCCCAATGCATTACAAAAAACCAGAAAGCACACATTTCATAAAAAGCTTAGAAAGTTGTAAACTCAATGCGAAAATAATGAACAAAAGTAAAAAGATACAAAACCAACTATTTAATCACACATATATGAATTTCAATGCATCATACAGTTTCAGCTAGCATGACTAAAACACAAGTTGATCCAATTTGCGAAAATACATTGTGTAAATCAATTTCATTGCAATTTTTCCGTTCAGGCCGTCTGAAACAGCATTGCAAAGAAGACAAAACAAACAAACAAACAACATATATTAAAACAAAGAGAATAAAAACGAAAAAAAAATACAAAATTAATTAGTGAAGCCAACATATATCGATTTCATTGTATTTTGAGAGTTTTGGCATGCATTAAATATTAGTCATTACAAATTGACCTGATGAATCAAACTCATAAAAAAAATGCATTGGATCAACCAATGTAATAAAGATCAACTCACTTGCTCAATATCCCTTTCAGCCCCATAACTAGCAAGATCTGCCATTCCATGAAAGATGATTGAAATATAGCCACCATCCACATATCCCAATCTCCACGAGCCGCATCAGGTGCTCCCAAGTCCTCATAGATGAAGGTACCTTCTGATAAGAACTTGAATCAGGACTCAATGGAAAATATAGGATTAAACTCCGTAGAAAAAACACAAATTTGGCAAAGATGGAATAAAATGGGCAAAATTCAAAGCCAAATCCCCTACAATGAGCTTTGATGAGACATTTTAATGCACTAGTTTTAAAATTTATAGAAACTATGAAAATTCCGGAATGAGCAGAACATCCTCGTGGTTGAATGTACCTTCTGAGTTCTGACAATAGCTCGATTCAATATCTATCGGTAATTGCAGACTTAAATTTGATAAAAATGAATGAAATGGAACACTGGAAAAAAAATCGAAGAAAATGGACCAATTCAAAGCCATATCTTTTACAAGCAGCTCGAATCCACATCTTACGGGATAAAATTTAAATATGGCAGAGGAAAGAGAAGAGTCAGCAATGCCCAGTCATTGTGGAACATACCTTTTTGTCGTGAGCTTGTTTTAGATTTTCATGGAAAATGCAGAATTAACACCAGAATATTATTATATTCTTACACTAATGTACAAATCACCACGTTGTTTGGAGACGACGACGTTTTTAAAGACCACGTGGCACAAAAGAAAGTCTATTTGGATCTCTCGGCATAACAAAGTTGTGTGATCTTTTGATCTCGAGGGAGAACATTGTCTATTTACTCCCTCCCTCAAAAATCAAAAAGGGTTGTTTTCCGGAGGAAAAGTCATTCGGGACCGACCTCGTAAAAAACTCAAAGGACTAAAATGAATTTAGATAATGTAGAATTTTTCTTTAAATAAATCACATTTTAAATATCGAAATACGTTTTTCTCATATTCATGATCATTTATATTCAAAATCTACTTTCAAAATAGGTTTAAGTGGGGATCTACATATACATAGTATGAGTCCGCTGATACAAATAAACCATATCCTTTTTCGAACCCATAATTTGGGGATGTTTATAGGGATAAATTTTACAAAAAATAATATATAAATATGTATAGGGCCGATAGCTTCAGTTTAAGCCAAAGACTTCAAAAAATAATATCCCAATTGAATGAAGACTGTCCAATTTGTTAACAACAAAGAACTAAAGAATCTAAGTAATTCTTTAAAAATAATCATCCGATGATATCCAAATGGACCCTCAGATCTTTCTTCTTTTTTTTTTTACCAAATGCACTTGTTATCTGAGGAACAAATAAACAATTTGCTCCATCGGACCGTAGCATGCACACTCTTCCAAAATTTCGACGTTACACCAAAATTGGCGGGTTTCCCTGGCATTATTCTACTCATTGGCGCATTTAAATTAAAGATGTTGGTCCCTCCGGTGGATGAGGAATATTTCGTTAAAGAGTATTTTAACGAACAAAAGTTAGTAAGTGTCGTCCTCGACCTAGAAAGAACTTTAAAAAGGAAGGAAAGGTTGTTGACATTACAATGTACTTGAAAGAAAATAACAGCATCATGATATGCGATGGCGATCATCCAATAATCTACATCGTCCAATCAGACCTATGTATGTACCTGCAATTTAAAAAATGGATTAATGACCTGGATCGGTCATCGCAAAAAATCGATATGGGTTGGTGAATTGGTGATCTGGATAACTGTTTTACTATGTGGAAAAAATAGTGAATCGGTGAAAAAACACGTACAAAAACAATGAACCTGCCAAAAACGGCCCAGATCGGTGACTCAACGTTTTCATTAGAGCAAAACGTCGTTTTACTATAGCAAATTGCTGGTTCTCTTTTAGACCAGGACGATTTCCTATATATTGGTAGAATCGACATAGGGTAGCTAATTCTCAAGTTGGACATGCGATTCCCTGTCGACCGGTCGTTTTTTAAATCATTAGCCTTTATAAACTCAATACTTAAAATTTATTTTCTAAATTACTCGATAGATAAAAAAGTGGATCCCTTAATTTCAAATCTAAAAATCTGGAACCATCAAACTCATCTTATTTTCCAAGTAATTGGGGTTGGCTACATGAATCCTGGTTAGCTATCTTGCTCTATTTAATACCACACCCTCGGTGAGGTCATAAATCTCCATATAATTTCAGACTAATTACAACCACTTCATTTTGGGATACCACTCGCCTTTTTCAATCTCTTTACTGAAACTAACTTGCACCTCCTGATAAGTGTTGCACCACATCGACGTCACACATTCCTAGCCCATCTAAGTTTACTCTGTTACATATTATTGCCTATTGGTGCCACACCTAAACTTTACAGAATCAATTTATTTTGGATTTTATCCCTTATTGTCTTACTACTCATTCATTTCAACATCCTCTTATCCGCTACACTCATGTTATGAGTATATTGTTTTTGTCCGCCCAACATTCTACCCCATAAGACGAAGTCGGTAACACAATTGTCCGATATAACTCTCCCTTCAACTTCATTTGTATGCGGTGATCACATAAAATTCCAATTGCACATCTTCATTTCATCCATCTAACTCTAATTCTATGCGACATCTTCCTCAATCTCTCCATCTATAATCTAAAAACATGGAACCAAATGAGATTTTCCACGAGGAGCAAAACATAAAGTATGTTTTTCCAATAGATTACACAATCTTCCTCGTTTTCTCTCTCGATAATGAAAAAAAAACCCTACATGCACTTTCCAATAAAATAATAAATGACAAAAGGTCAAATAACATAGTTATTTAGGCAATGATTTCATGCAACGGTTGTATAGTAATATGATGCAACAACCTTCAAAAACCATATGATGCCCATTTGTTTTATCCAAATTTTGGAATATACACTCTTTTCATTCTAAAGAACAATTACAAGAAAATAAAAATTTGAAAACACAACTTAGAAAGTATTTTTTAGCCCAATTAACACAGGCCGTTCTTTTTGGTAAGATGCTTAGATCTAGGCTTTATAAGGATTTTTTCATTTCCATTTTTTTTGGATGGCTTTATCACCTTTAGATTAGCAGTGTGAGAAAAGAAAAAAATGATTTTGACTTTATAAAGGCTAAGATCTTGAAATTCACCAAATGAATAGGCTATATTCATTTTTGGAGGGGACTCATTTTGACTACATCTAACGTCCAAATTGAACTTTTTTTAAGGGGGGGGTTGATTATTGTGATGGTGTGTGTGCAAAATTTTGGGTCATACAAAGAGGGGGGATTGATTATTGTGATGAAGTGTGTGTGTAAAATTTTGGGTCATACAAATACCACAAACATGATTTTCTAGAAGTGTCGTTGCATTATATTATGATACAATCGTTGCATGAAATCACTACCCTAGCTATTTATTTGAAATAAACCATATATTTATACCAAAATACAACATAGTTATTTACCCAAACAAAAAAAACACAACATAGTCACTTATCATTTTAATAAATATTTCACTAATTTTTTAGATTCTTAAAAATAAACATTTTACCAATAATAGTATCTATTCCAATGTTGTTTAATCAGATTGTGTGCTATTTCCCAATGTTGTTTACAATGTATGGTATAAAAATGTCAAGTTGTCAATTAAATCAAGTTATAATTAGAATTGCTTCATTTTGTGAGTGTAATTTTAAATGTCGATGTTTTAAAATTTTGAACAAAGTTAAGGAAAGGTATACAATTAGACAATTTACTTTTGATACAATGTGGCCACAATTAGTCTTGGCAGTTGAATGTATAGTGGCTACATTTATTTGATTGATTAAGCTCAAATTTCAAAATAAATCTATTTGAACTTCGTGACACACACAATCTACAAGAATTCACATCGGATGGTTACGAGTAATTGTGACTTTCTTGTATCAAAGGTAAATGATATCATTGTATATAATTCTACAATTTTAAGTCTATGTAAAATTGCCTCTATGAACTACCACATATAACTCAACAATGACATATTTAATAGAAAAATAAATTTAATATATATATATATATATATATATTTATAATAATTAAAAGGGACACATAGGGATACTCATGCTTTCAATTATCTACCCGACACCTTAGGTAGTCAAATTAATTGGTAAGCTCAAAATTAGGGGTGGCGGTGGATCCAGACCTAATCCGGGACGCGTCAGGTATACTCAACACAAGTTGGGTATGGGTCTAGCATTTGGACCCCGTGGGTCTTGGGTCCAAAGTCCAAAACTTGGGCCCGAATACTATACAGGTCTGGGTCCAGCTGGACCCGACCTATACCCGTAAACTGTTAGAGATAAAATACTTTACTTTAAGCTCTATTCATTTGGGTATATTAAAGATGGTATATAGTTAAAACTAGTCGTCATCTTTAGCTATCAAACAACAAATCACATGATTTGAAATCTAACAGCTGGGTGATTATGATCTTGTTGCCAATAATATGGGAATATAATGGCAAAAAAGGAGGCCAAAAAAAAAAAACAAAACAATAAATAAGCTCATAGTGAGGGTGACAATGGAACTGAGACCCGATGGGGTAAACTTGAGACCTGACGGGTTGAGTTTGGGTCCAAAATTTGGACCCGAATGTATTCGGGTCTGGGTCCAGCTGGACCTGACCCATACGCTACCCGTGGCACCCCTACTCAAAATCATAAGCAAAAGGGTATTTTCCTTTGCTAGAAGATTAAACTTTGAATTTTAGTGAACCATTCAATACGATATCACCTTACCCCATTCAAATAGAATGTGTTAAATGTTGAGCTTACGTGATTTTTTTTTTTTGGATTCATCAATACAATTAATATCAAAATTTAAATCTAACATATTTTCACAATTAGTATTTTGTTTAGAATAGGGCATTCTTATTATTCCAAAATTTCTATCTAACTTTTCATAAACTATTAACAAATGGCTAAAATTCCATGAATATTATAAAATTTTGACTCTTTAAAAACCATATTGTACTTAAAGAAAAAGTTTATATAAGGATGCAACCTTATAACATAGGACTATGGATGCACGTCAAAGATTCATCCGAAAAGGTAGTTTTAATATCGAAAAACCCTTCGATTGATCATCTCGACATCGAGATGTATGACTATGAAAAACAAAAATATTTGAAGTCTAAAAAATAGTGCATTTTACATCACATTATCTATACCGTCTATTTTCAAGATTTTCATATGTTTATAGATCTACTTAATTTTAACTAATTTTGAAATTTAAAAATTTATATACCATGATAAAATTTGAAGGTACACCTTACCTCTACCTCTATGGATGCATTTGTATGCCAACTGCACCCTTTATTTAAAAAGTGAGACACATAAATATTACAATTTAGTCATTAAAATTACAATTAAATCTGAGAAAATTAGTTCACAATTGTTCGTGATATAATGGCAATTAAAATTTGAAATCGACAAAAATCAGAAACGGTATTGTCGTTTAAAACACATGCATTATTCTTATTCTAATTTAATTCATGGGTAGTGCTTTATATATAAAATTTAAATTATCAAATATAAAAAATGAATATAAGCTATTATTTATAGGGCGTGGTTTGCAAGGTTGAGGCGCAAATAATGCTGGAATCTGTTGTTTTAATATTAGAAATTTTTAGAATGGCTTGAAAATTTATTTCATCCGTAATTATAAAATTTTAAATATTAAAAAAGGGTGATAAAAAAGATCTATAAATAATGGAAAATCTTAAAATTTGATGGTATAGATAATCCATTACAAGATGTCCTATTTTTAAGACTTGAAATTTATGTTTTCTCATGTCCATACATCTTGATGTCTAAGAGGATCAAATTCAGAGTTTTTGGGCACGGAAACAAGTTATTCTAGAGAAAATTTTTAGGTGAGCCTCAGTTCGATTGTTTAGGGTCCACCCTCATATAAACTTTATCCTTATCTATATTACAGTTTTAAAATCTAATTTTAATTGACAAGGTAAAATGCGGTGAGATTGTATTGAAATTATATTTTTATCTCAATAAAAAACTGTTATTAGCTACAAAAACATTAAATAAATCAGAGATATAAAAATATTAAAACATGGATAATAATGGCAAAATAAAATGAGGAGGTGATGATAATGAGGGGGAATCCTGAAAAGGAGGGGGAGATGGCAGGTGCAGGTGCAGGTGCAGCTCCACTCCTCTTGAAGATGCCGTGGAGTCAAGTGTTGCAAGTGAGACAGAAAGGGGACGAAAGTTTCATTGGTGATTAATCGTGATGCAATCAATTGGAGAGAGAGAGAGAGAGAGAGAGAGAGACGTCTTGTGTTTCGCTGTTAAGCCGTTAGGGAGGAAAACGCACCTTAAAAAAGCTTAGAGAGAGAGACCAGTTGCAGTGGTTTTCGCGGGGGGAGAGAGAGAGCAGTTGTAGTGTTTAGCGTAGAGAGAGAGACCAGTTGCAGTGGTTTTCGCGGGGGGAGAGAGAGAGAGAGAGAGCAGTTGTAGTGTTTAGCGTAGAGAGAGAGACCAGTTGCAGTGGTTTTCGCGGGGGAGAGAGAGAGAGGAGTTGTAGTGTTTTTTGGGGAATAGAATGGGAATGGGAATGGAACAAGAGAGAGAAAGTGGCGTTTGGGCTCTCCATGGACCATCCATACACATCCACTGATTCTGCATATATATCTGTCTATCTATCAATAGAAGCAGAATCGAATCAAATCCCATTTGGGATATTTATATCACCAGCCATTATGCGGATTCCCAACGCTCCATTATCCCTCTGTTTCCGCCGCTCCGCCTTCTCCTCCTCTTCGTTCCTTCCCTTCTCCCCTTCCCCCAAACCCCAACGCTCTCCCTTTCTCACCTTCTTCTCACTCCAAGGTACTCTCTCTCTCTCCATCTTCTTCCTTTTGTAACTTGAATTGTTAGTCCAATTATTTTCTGGTTATCTCACTAATAGGTTGCCACTTCCTGTTATCTCAATTTTTTGTCTTGCTCATTCAAATTCTTCATTTCATATAACTGTCTTGTACCTTGACTTGTTTGTCCATATATATATATATATATATATATATTTGGGGTTTCAACCAGTGGGGGAAAAGGGCCCCTATCCATTTTCCATTAATAGAGATAGAACATATTACATCTCATTATTTTACAACCCTGTAATATGGCAATTGTGCAACACCATGAAGTAAAAGAAGAGAAATAAAATCAGGAGGTCTAGATCGTCAAATGGTGGTGTTTGTTCAATTTTTGTCTTACTCTGCTTATCTCATTGATAGGTAGCCATATTTTTGGCTTGGTCATTCAAAATGAACATTTCATTTCTGCTTTTGTAGCTAATTCGGTTTGTTGCTGTATTAGTGGGTTGATGTAACTTATGCTCTCATCAACAGTTTCATCTCTGGGTTCCTAATCTTACAGTTTACACTTTATTCATTGGAGCCTCTGTCGAGTTCTTGTGCCTTTTTGATGTTGCATTTATTTCTTCATTCTTGTTATCCATATTTATTGTCAACATCGTGGTTGTATGTGTGTATTGCATAAGCTATTGAATTGCAGTCCACTGGGTAGTAGTATTAATGGGGTCCTTTAGATGGTGGAGACTTGTCAAATTTGGTGGGTGCTTTCGATATTGTAGCTGTCTGGACGCATATTTTGATTGTTACAAGTGTAAGCATATTGCCGGTATCTCTTTTATGCTTTTAATGGCCATTTGAGCAAACAATGGTTATGCCAACAACAGTGACTGTTTCAACTTTCAAGCCCTCACCTGTTGAGTTGAATCGCAGCCAGAAGAACACAATATATGCTACCAATGATTCTACCAGAATGTGGAAAAGAGTAGTTCTCGATTCATGGACTGTATTTGTGTCATATAGCCCGTAAGGGACACTCTAGCACTTCAGTCATATAATAAAAAACCAGCTCTCATCTTATAGTATGGGTTTTTTAGATGTATCATTATGTATAAGTTGCCTTGGAGTCTGTATTATTGGATTGTACTTGGTTCGTTGACTTCTACATCTGTGTCACGGTTTCTTTGTGATAGTGTTTCCTTGTTCACTTTATTTGAGGATTTTAGATAGTTGGAAGCTTGTTCATGTACTGTATTTTTGTTTGGGGTCATCTAGTGTAACATTTTTATGTCTTAATACTTCTCGTTGCATATCTTAATAGGTTCTTATCATTTTTGTACCAGTAATAGAATGGAAGGAGGACCTAGAAACTATAATAGCACATCTCAGTTGCACCGGGATATTGGAAATGTCAATGGCGAGGAACCATTCATTTGGTCGTCTCTTCAACAGCGGCGTGAAATTGCTATGGAGAAACAGATTTTCTGTAACAGATCTCTAAATATGAGAAGTATTGTTGCAGTGGGGTTTGACATGGATTACACTCTTGCACAGTACAAGCCTGAAACTTTTGAGACTTTAGCATATGATGGCACTGTCAAAAAGCTGGTCTATAATTTGGGCTATCCTCCAGAGGTTTGGTTTCGTTTTGCTTCTGGTTCTCATCTTTGCATATTTGTCTGTTTTCTTCTCTCTGATATTTGTCTTCGCATGTTATTGCAGTGCTGTTTGACTTTTGTTTGATTTCCACTTTGCTGTATGCCAAATTTCATTCTCAAAGTTTATTTTTTCCGAATAATTTGTTTTAGAAATTTATTGTTCTGTTATATTATAGTATTTGTATTGAGCTTCTCTCTACAATAAATATTCTTCATAAGTAGGAGCTTCAATTGAGGGGATTATCTTGTTTGCTGATTTTGAGTATTCATGCTTTATGTATCCCATGGGTTGGGATTAGAATTGAGACATCACAGCTGATTTTTTTTGTCATAACTTTTCAATCACTGTGAAAAGTCTACTTCATGATTATCTGTGTGGAAATTGATCCATGGAAAAGTAAAAGTTTCTATGACCCGATTTTCAAAAATAAATAAAGAGTCTCTCAAACCCTGATGATCGACTCTGAAATGGTTTAAACCCAGAGTCAGGTGAATTGGTCACCAGCCATATGTGTTTTTTCCTTTTTGTGAGATAATCTGCACCATATAGAAGCGTAATACTTTTTATTGTGACAAAGCATCAGCTTGAAAGAAATTCTTGCATGATAATTCACAGAAAAATGTTTGTATGTGAGGGTGAAAATTTGATATTTGCTAGTACCTTCCGACTACTTCGAAGTTGGCTGATATGGTTGAAATAGCAAAATATTTCGTTGCAGAAATCGATACAGATTTTCTCTGATTCTTTCTAAAAGAAATATGGGTCTCCACACCTATTTGATCCCATGCCTTCCAATTGCCTGATTGGATGAGCAGGTTGATACCTATCCAGCAAAGAGGTCTTTAGTGCTTGAATCTGGCCTAAAACATGAATTCAGTAACATCATAGTGCAGGTTTCCTAATCTGCGTCTTTCTGGATCAGCACTTTCTCACCAAATGGGAGTTGGCTGATTAATATGTTAATTCACAAATGATTTATCTTTTGGCTTACTTCATAGTGTATCTCTGCCATCATCCTCTTTGGTTGAGTTGATTTTGATATCAAGGTAAGCATTTGCACGATGACCATGCAATAGTAGACAATTCAACTACACACATGTAATTTGTATCAAGAAGTGCAGCTGTTGTTTATACCTTAACTTTGAGACAATGTCATAAAGAGCTTATTGGCCATGCAATACTAGAAAACTGAATTACACAATGAAACTCTTAATTGTATTGGAAAGATGATTTTACCTGTGACGTTCAGGTTCATTTGGATGAACCCTACTTGCAATATTTTCACGATCTTGGGGTCTGAAAGATGGTAAAAACTAAAAAGGGATCCTGTTATTCCTCTGATTAAGGGGTGTTTGGATACCCAATTTCAGGTACAAAAGGCACCAAATCTCTCTGTGATTACTGCCTGTTTGAATGTTTGCCCTTGCAGCATTCCTCCTGGCCTGAAAGGCGGCAATTTTTTTGGGCTGCTTGGAATTGGAAAAAGATCTAATTTCATGCTGCCCATGAAAGGAGTGGCTGTGTAGAACTACAGACTATAAATTCAAAGAATTTTCTTGTTTTCTTTTATTTTTATTATTAATTGCTGGAAATTCTACTTATAATTGCCCCAAAACAATTCAAAAGTAAAACCTACTGCAATTTAGGATCTTTATAACTTATTGCCAAATAAACTTTATTTTACACTAAATACAGACTAACGATTTTAGGATGTAAAATATGAGACACAAACAACAAAAAAAAAAAACAAAAAAGTTATTAAATAACTAAGGGAAGACTTGCTGGACTTTTGCCTAGGGTTACTCCTTTAGGGCTTAGCACACCCCATACCCGATCACCTGACCGTTGGCACTCTTAAATCTAGATCATGCTGAATCCTCCAATCTGGATCTGAGAAGCACCTGTGGAACACCCTTATCTGAAATCTATATAGTTGAGAGCATGGGTCACAATTAGGGTTTTCTAAAAGCCCTTTTTAATCCTTGGGGAAGCACCGTTCATAAAAAAAACATGCCAGGAAATTAATATCTTTTCCAATCTAGGACTGTAATGTCTAGATCCTTAATACTCATCAGTATAGGCAACAAATTTGCACACTTTAGCCTTAAGGGAGAGCTATCTATGTGCACATTAGCATAGCATCCAAAGGCTTCGTCAGAGTATAATCTGGATGTTTACCAAATAGGTACTCTATAGGGGCAGATCCCATTAAGAGCACTTGATGGCAGCCTAGTGGTGAGGTGAACGACTGTGTAAAATGCCTCTGTCCATAAGTACTTGGACACACCACTAGAAAACATAAGAGAATGCTAACTCATTAATATGTTCATTCTTTCTCTCAACAGCTCCGTTTTGGGCTGGAGTGGAGTGCGTGGATAAGAGATATGTTCTATTCGGTGATACTTTAATTAATTTTTGAAAGCATGGGATGAGTACTCTCCCCCTCCATCACTACGAAAAAATAAAATTGGTTTTCGGTAATGCTTTTCAACAAATGACTTGAACTTCATGAACACCCTGAATACATCAGATTTGTTTTTGAGGACACACCCATGTATAACATGAGTAATCATCAATGAATGTAACATAATAATGAGAACCATAAGAAGAATGAACTGGACCCCACACATCAAAATGAACTAACTCAAATGATGAAGAAACTCTTTTATTACTTAAAGAAATGGAAAGATCAGAACTTTTACCCAACTGACATTCATAACAACTAAATTGATTGGGATCTTTGATATTTGAGGGTACAACACCCTCATTACAAAGTTTATTGAATGACTCCCTATTACAATGACCTAGACGATGATGTCATAAATCAACATCTTTATTAACATTTAAACAGGAGACCAATGCTTTTTACCAAGGCCATCAATCCCATATAATTGTCCACCATGAGTCCCCCTAGCTAACACGATTCTTGATTGTTGTTCCTTCAAGGAAACAAAATCGGGAGTAAATAAACAACAAATCCCATTATCGTGCGCTAGTTGGGAAACAAAAATCATATTATGTCTAAGATTTGGAACAAGGAAAGCATAATTCAAGTGAATAGGACCAAAAGAAGACTCAACTGTGACATTACCTACCTGTGTGATGTTAAGCGAGGTCCCATTACCAATTGTAATAGAGCCATTACTACTAAAATTATCAAGGGAAGTAAACTTACTTGGATCTCCATATACTTGGTTGGCAGCTCCAGTATCCACAATCTATGCTCCGTTAGTAGGAGAAGTAATGGCAAGAGATGTGATAGAATTATTTAATACTTCAGCTGTACTCTCAGTGTTGTCGAAAAAGTTGCAGGTGGTATGTTCTCTTCTTCCGCATACTCTATTTCTATTACCATTAGGGGTAGGTAAAAAACCTCGACCTGCACCATGGACGTTTTTATCACCACACCCATTTCTGCCACTTCCATCCCCACGACCTCTATTATTTCTCCGAAAATTATTGGAATTCTATGACCTATTGGCTCTTGTTAGTAACAAGGACATTGTGGTTCGCATTACTGGGATACGAGTTCTATGTTGCTTTTCCGAAAGAACAATCATGCTACAGCAACATGGATTGAAGGTTGGCAAAAGAAGGGAGAGAATACCTTGTTATCATAGACGTGTCAAAATTTTTCTAGCCTTCACCCAGCCCTCGTAGTACATATTGCACCTTGTCCTTATCTTCAACTAGCTGCTGGATTATTGTGAGTTGATGGCATATTCCTTTATCTTGTTATAGTATTCATGTACTGACATCTCCTTGTTCTTACAACCTTGAAGTTCAGATTTTAATTACAAAAAACGAGGTTCCAATTCCTAAGAGTAGACTCATTGAGGGTTGGCCAAAGATCATATGCTGTGCAGCTGTAGGTAGATTCACCACTTAGGCCGAAATTTCTTCAGACAAGGTTGAGTTAGTCCAACCAATAAGATTTTGATCTTTCGCGTGCCTTTCTACATAGGCTGGAAATACCACTGTAGTGGTCTATTTCTTTTCATCTGAACTTGTGCTTTCTTGAACAATTTATTATGGTGGTGGCCTAGTGGATCCATCCAAAGGGCCATAGAGGCTTTGACCTCTGATGAAGGGAAAAATAGGTCCTTTCCAGACATTAAAAATTATCAGATTTAAGTTTGACGGAAATATTGAGGACTTGGGAATGAAAAGGAATTAGAATTCGATGATTGTGCTATGGTGAGGAAAATGGGTTCAAATTATAATTGCATCAGATCAAGAAAAAGAAGAATAGGAGGTTTATAGAGAATAAGAGAGTTTAGAGATAGACTAAAAAAGTATATAAAAGGGGCTTGGCATGGATAGCAAGAAATAAAGCAGTAGAGAGAAAAGCAGTTAGGGTTTTGGACAAGATTTCAAGAACCGAAAAGGAGAACTGCAAGAGTAATATTATAGATATCAAACAAGATCTGGGCCTCTATATTAAATGAAAAGAGAATCAAGAGTTTTGTGGCTGAAATATGAGGCTTTGTAGGAAAGAACAGTAGTGTGTGAAAGGTGATGTGAACAGTAACTTGAACAGTAATGTGAATAGAGATGCATACCGTTGCGTGAATAGTTGGTGCCCATAGTATGGAGGAAATACGAGATAGAAAGATTAGGGTTTGAAGGATGAGAGTGATGAAAGAGGGTAAAGGTGAAGAAAGAACGATTAGAGTTTAGAAGAGCAAGAGACAATGAGTCTTCAAGAAGAAGGAGATATTGGTGACCGTGATTAGAGTTGATCACGTTGAGAACATATTCAAACCTGCTCTGATATCTTGTTAACTTTACTTATACCAACAAGATCTTGCACTTGGAATACAAACAAGAGGAAGACGAGAGAAAACAAAGAGGCTCGCTGGACTTTGGCATGAACAAAACTGGGCTGTTGTGACCTGCCCAGGATAATGAATCCTTATATTAAATGATTGGTGCTGCATAAGGGCAACAACATTATGAAAATGTCCTTGTACAAAAGTAGAATATGCAAAAAAAAAATCCTCTATCAGGTACATGGGTTGCCTAGACCCACAACTCGTGGCTTTTTGTAAATATATTTTATAAACTAATGTATAGTCACCGTTTCCTTAGAGACAAAAAAAGAAAAAATGAAAATTATCAATGTCAAGTGTGCCTTTGTACTGGACAAAGACGAGCCTTTTTTGTACCTTTTGTGTGTGTGTGTTTTGATGGTAAAATGTTTATCTTTGAACCTGTATTCTCTTTTTGGGTAGAATACTAGAATTTCATTAATCATGTGTGAAATGTACATGTATATGAAGAACCCCAAACAGTTACATGTCTTGTTTATATATGTATTGTATATATGTATTGTATTACATAACATATATTGTATGTACATATATATGTATACATATATATATATGTACATATATATGTGTGTTAAATGTACTTGTATATGAAGAACTTCAAACAGTTACATGTCTTATTTGTACTTGCTGGTTGGATTATTGCAAGCATGGTGTCATTATTTGATGTTGGAAGGGACACTTCTTTTAGTTTTAGGGATTCTTATTGGACAAAGAGGTTCATATTCAACTGGTAATGCTTAAAATCTTTGAGAATAAACTTTCTAAAATAAAAAAAGAAGAAAAAGGCATCTTATAGAATGAATAGATTGTGCCATCATAGTTTCTCCACCCTAGTATGATGTTTATTAATTCAATGGATCTCGGGTATTGTATGTTAATTTTTTTTTTGGTAATAGTTAGGAGTTCCTCAATTGATCTGATTTGGAGTCATGAATGACCTCTTTCTGCAGTTGTTAAAGTGGTCATTTGATTGGAAGTACATGGTCAGGGGCCTTGTTCTTGATAAACGGAGGGGCAACATCCTTAAGGTTTGTTCTGCTTCTTTCTTTTTATTGAATTTTTATGCATTATTTCTGGATATGTAAGTTTCATTTAAATATGAAATTTGACTAAACTTTTAAGTAAGAAGATTACTACATAGATGGTCTGTCCTCTGTTAATATGAGAAGGAAATGAAGCTGAGGTTGTATTTCTCTCTCTAAGCCCTTACCGTGTGGGCCTCCTTTTTGTCTCTATTGTACTTCTGGTTTAGCATCAGATATTCAGTATGTTTGATGAACTGTAATCCTAAAATAAAGGAATTTTAAACAGAACTAAGATCTTATCGTCCTCTTTCACCTCTTTGTAATTTTGATCTGGGACATGGTTCTATGTTCAGGTGGTAATTTTTTTTGGATTTGTTGTCAGGTTCTGTTCTTGTGGTTTTATTTTTTTATCAGCTGCATACTTATGGGGTTGCACTGATTCCTCTTGTCTTACTTGTTATTACAGTTACAATTTCCTTTTTCTTACACAATTACATGTATAAAATGCTTTCCTGTGATAGATGGATCGACACAAATACGTGAAAGTGGCCTATCACGGCTTTAAGGAGTTGTCCAAGGAAGATAAAGTTGCTACATACGGAAACACCATGTTGCGGGATTCATTTGATGAGCCTGATTATGCCCTCGTTGATACTCTGTTTTCTCTTGCTGAAGCATATTTGTTTGCACAACTTGTTGATTTCAAAGATAGATTTCCTGAAAAGTTTCCTGATGGTGCCGAGTATGGTTCTTGAACTTTGATTTTATGTTTAATTTGACTTTGCAATATATGCATTAATTCCTCTGTGGGCCTGATATGTTCCTTTTTGCAAATATAAGAGAAGGTTTATGCTCTTATTTTATGTAATTATTATTATTTCTTGTCTTCTTTTTGAGTAATATAGCCTGGAGTGCAGTACACATAACCATTTGGAAGAATAAGATCTGTAGTCTGATAGATAATAGTGTGTAAATTCTATCTTCGATGTTGGTTGGCCCTATTTTATTAAACTTCTGGGATATATTTGAGGCTAATTATTTATATTTGGGAATAACTATCGAGATAAATTATTTGTGGAAAAGACTTGGATGTCTCATGGTAACAAATTACGCATTTGTCTTGTGGGAAAAAAGCCATCTTAGGAGGACTTGTTTTTTACCACAAAAAATCTCCAATCATCTTGTTCATATCCAAAATCAATCTGAAAAGAAAATGATTTGGAGCTTTAAAATTATTTAAATCAATTCTCGCTTCAAGATTGACTCTGAACTACCCTTATGATGGATGCTCTAGGGTTTCAAGTACTCAATATTGCTTCTTTCTAGTCCCAAAGTTAATCAAATATGAAAAAATTTTAGGTCATAAAAATCTATTAACTAGGTGTTTCTCTGGGACTACCTTATTTGCACTCAATTGTTTATTTTTGGCAATTGATAGATCATTAGACTTAAATATGAAGGAAAGCTTAAAATGATGCAACTTTTTTAAACTGAGGTGGTAATCCTATCATTCTCAGGTCACGCACAAATTTTTTGATGGTAATAGAGGTGGTGTACCTAGGGGCATGATTTGCATCTAGGATTAAACGGAGGACAACAAATCCTGAAAAGAATAGGGTGCTTCAACCTTGTGGATTTGATCTTTGATAGAATTGGTTGGTTAATATATATTGTATGTCCATATGATCTTTGTCGTTCATATTTTGTGCATTCTGTTGGTGCACGGTTAGCATCAATAGTACCTTAAATGTTGAAAGCCATTCTAGAAATGCTTTCTCTGTATTTGATATAGGTTTTGATTGAGTGATTTTAGAATGAATAATTATACTTATGGTATACTTCATTTTTTCTTTTGGTTGGAGTTTTCATGTCAGTTTTCAATATGAGATATCTACTGATTGCTTTTGTGCTTTCATCCATTTCCTTACTCACAGCTATTCCCACATATATAAAGATGTTCGAGCTGCTGTGGACTTGTGCCATCGAGATGGAACCTTGAAGCAAATGGTTGCAGGTGATCCTGTAAAGTAAGAACAACTTCAATATATTTGAATTCCTTTTTTGGGAAATTTATCAAAATACACATTAGAGATCCATGATTTAATATTTTACCCATAACTTTTGATATAATTTCAGAATAGCCATCGAAATACACATGACCATGAGTTGGAATAGTTGAAAACAGGATAAATTAAATTGTTGAAAAGTCAGGTGTATGTTGAAAATTTCCCTTTATTTTTGTGGCATGTAGAATAGGTCATTTGCATATGATGTTTTCTGGAATTAAGTGGAAGGCTTGCCATCGAGTGTCAATGTTAATCTACCTATAACACTAACAAGATGTTAAAATTTCTGTCTATTTGATGTCTCCATTAACACTATAACAAGTAGCAAACAATTGCTTCTCTAACTTTTTTAGAAGGCTAGGTTGATTGAAGAGTCTTCAATAGCTATCATATGGAATTTTGTGTGGGATTGAGTCTCATGAGCATGCATTTGTCGTGAGAAACACTGTCAACTGCAGGCACCCCCATGCCTGTCCACAAACATGCATTTGTCGTGAGAAACATTGTCAACTGCAGGCACCCCCATGTCATCTATATGGTCATGCATTGGCAACAGCTTAAGCTTTAGTATCTCGAACTCTTTAACTCAAGTAATTATACAAGGGATTGTATACAATGAGACCATTTACCTTTAATACAGGGAGGTCACAATTACTTACAACCATCCGTTGTGAAATCTGATAGCTTGGGTGTGTCACAAAGTTCGACAAAATTTCTTTTGAACTTTGAGCCTGGTCAATGAAATAAATGCAGCCACCCTATGGTCAAGATTTCACATCCAATGGTCAAGATTAATTGTGACCACCTTGTGCAAAAGGTAAATGGTCTCATGATATACTTTCCCATTATGTAATTATCATCTTAAGACATGAAGCTGTATGTAGGTTGTAGTGATATTCTGAAGTTTGAGCCAGAATATAGGCAATAGATGGTGATCTATAATTTTTTGAGTTCTGCATGCTGTTTCCTTCTAATATTTTGAAAATGATTTAGAAGGGTACCGTGATTGGGAATAAATATCCTATCTCTAAGAGCGTGCTATTTTCTTTTGAAGATATATTTTGGTGGATTATCCGTAGTCAATTGAATGACTAATTTCTCTTTTTAAACTTTTTTCACTTTTAGGTATATTCATGAAGATCATGCAATAGTACCGATGCTGAAAATGCTCCGTGATTCTGGGCGGATGACTTTCTTAGTTACGAATAGGTATTTTTCAGTCCCTGTATATTCTATTTTTTTGATATTTCTCGTAAACCTTGATATGCTACCAACTCACTGACATGTATTGATGTCTTGGCATTGAATAAGGCCTGATAGTTTAAGAGGCCTCTGCAATATTTGCAATGTACCTAGAGGGTACCAATCACATTCCTGAGTTGTGAACTTTGGGAAATATCAGTTCTGGAGCAGAGTACCATTAGGGTGTGCAATATGAGTGCAAAGTTTGATAGATTATGTGGGAGTGTTACTTCTTCATATATTAATTACATTTGTCAGGATGAAAACCCATTTGGGAGAAATGTGCTATTTTCCTTTGAACCCTTCTTCCACATTCTCCCCATCTGTTGTACTTTCAGCCCTTTCCCATTCTCCCCACCAGTGCTTGATTGAACCTCATCCGTTGTATTAAATTCTTCTCCACATAAGATGAAATCTTCAAGCCCCATCGAGGAGATTGAAGTGACTTGTTATCAGCAGGTTTCTATCGAGATGGAGAACTTTCTAGTTTCTCTTTCGGTTTGACAAAGTGCAACCACAGCCCCATACTTGTCAAGTTGACATGCTAGATGCTGGATGATTTTACTTATACTTTTTAAAGAATCTTACATGGATATGCTACTCATTTGCTCATGTTTCTTTAGTAAGGAGTATTAAAGTGACACGTTCTTTTGTTATCATCGCCTGAAGCACCAGAACTGCCTTTTTTCCTCTTCTACTTTCTTCTTAGTTTCCCTGAATTTTGGATATTGAGACTACAAATCAGTGTATTCTCACATATTTTCTTCTCTGTATACTCTCTTGTAGGTATAAATTTAATGTTCACCCATTCTGAGGAAAGCTATGATCCCTCACTTTATATGTATGCAATATGTGTGTGTGTTTGTGTATAATATGCTGCTAATCTGTTTGTTGTTTTTATCTGTTTTCTTGCAGCCTTTGGGACTACACCAATGTAGTGATGAATTTTCTTTGTGGGAATGGAACATCCAAAAATGATTCTTCTTGCAATTTTAGCTGGCTGGAGAACTTTGACGTTGTCATTACTGGCAGGTGATCACCTGTGAACTTTTTCACATTGATATTGTCCCTCATTTGCTGTATCTTTATGATATTGATATATCATAGTGGACACAGTTGAGATATATTGCTTATTTTAATTGCAGGTAATGATTTTTTGTCTTTACTTTATTAAGTGGTTGTTTATAAAATGGGTAGGATTCATACTTGTAAATACATTCAATGAAAGAAATAAAAAAATAAGAAAGGAAGCTTACTAATAGGAGACCTTGAGTTTAGGCAATTGTGAATTGACTATATTCTTGAAGCGGTTGCAAGGTTTTTATGAACATACTCTTGTTGTTTTTTTATATTGATGAAAATGATAAAAATCAGCTATTTATCACTTTTTTACAGCTGCAAGCCAAGCTTTTTCCAAGAAGAGAATCGGGCACAATTATTTGAAGTCGAAGCTGAGTCTGGGATGCTTTATAATACAGATAATGGCATTGTTCTTCCTCAGGCTAGTGAAAATTGGTTTGTTGTGTTTCTCTTTTCTTTGGTTTTTTATGTATACTTCTTTTGATTTGCTCATTTGTTTCCAAAGATTGGAAGAACTGCACCAAGAGACCTACCTAAGGAGTTGAAAAAGAGATGTAGGGTTTTCCAGGTAATCTTTTGACTAAATAGTTGATTTTGTTTCCTGTGTTGCAACTGTTTAGGATGCAAAATGGTTTGAGTTTTTTTTTTATTTGGATGAAAAAATTTTATTTGAATTTATCATATATTACATCATTTTAGAGGCTTCATCATCGTCATCATCATTCGAGCTTTATCCCAACTTTTTGGGGTCTACTACATGATCTTGTTCCTCCATTTCGCTCTATCAAAGGCCGTACTCTGAGTCAGCTCATAAGTCATCATATCTCTTTGCAATTCTACCATATATGTGTCCTTTTTGGCCTTCCCCTTGCCCTTTTAGAGCATTCCACTTGAACCAAATCACCCCTCCTTACAGATGTTGGTCAAGGTCAATGTTGCACATGGCTAAACTATCTTAGTCTGCTTTCCCTCATCTTTTCGCCAATTGAAGCCACCCGTAACTTCCCTAGGATGTATTAGTTTCTGAATTCCATCATTTCTTGTCTTGCCACTTATCCATCTCAACATCTTCATCTCAACTATACTCATTATATGGATACTTGTTTCTTGACCGCCAATAGTCCTATAAAGCATGACTAGTCATATAGCCGTCCTATAGAATTTCCCTTTTTGTTTCATTGATATACGACAACCATATAAGACTCTAGAATTACCTGTCCACTTCGTCCACCCAGCTCTAATTCTATGCGCGATATCTTCCTTAATCTCTCCATTCTCATGGATTATCGAACCAAGACACTGAAGATAATCTCTTTTAGATTCTTCTTGGTCATCTATCTTAACTAATTCCTCATTTCTACTCATATTATTACTAAACTTGCATTTCGTGTATTCTATCTTACTCTGGCTAATTTTAAAACATTTAGATTTTAGAACATCCCTCCAAAGGTTTAACATTGTGTTGATATCAATCAAAGCTGTGTCATCCACAAACAACATACATTGCGGTACCTCATCCTGTAGATGTTTAGTTAACTTGTAAATTATCAAACCAAAGAGATATGGACTTAATGTTGACCTCTAATTTAGGCTTATTACCACTAAAAACTCACTTCTCTCCACTAATTGTTCTTACACTTGTTAGTTTTCCCTCGTACTTATCCCTCACCATGTCAATATATCATCTAGAGACTCCTTTCTTTTCTGACATCTATAAAGTCCATGTGGAGATTTTTTTCCTCATCTTTATAAACTTCTCAATCAATTGCATTGGTAGAAAAATATCGTTAATTTTAGATCTCTTTGGTATAACCGAATTGATTTTTTGCATTCATTTCATGTTGTAGTTATTGCTCAATCACTCTCACCCACAACTTCGTTAGGTGATCTCTCGATAGTTTTTAGAACTCTTTATTTCTCTTCTTTTCTTGTAAATAGGTACCACAATCTTTCTTCTCCATTCATTTAGTATTTTCTTTGTTCTCGAAATCTTCTTGTTGAATAGCTTGGTCAACCAGAATATGCCAATCTCCTTATGCACTTCCAAACCTTTATTTGTATACTATTCCTAAAACATTTCATATCTTCATCTTTCTCAACGCTTCTTTCAATTTAGATAATAATCTAATCCTACGAATGTATTTATGACCTCTGATCTCATATATGTCAAATAACGTTGTGCTCCCACCATGGTCTTCATTTAACAATTTTCGAAAATGAATTCTCCACCTTTCATTGTTCTCATCATCCTTCACCAAGACCCTCTGATCCTCACTCTTAATGCATTTAACATAATCTAGATCCCTATACTTCCTCCGATTTTCACTTGTTTGAAGACTTTTTTTTTTTTACCTTCTTTTGTGCCCAATTTATTGTATAGACAATCATATGTCTTAAACTTAGCCTTACTATTTTGTTAGTGTTTTTATTGGCATTTTTATGTTCTTCTAAATTTTGGTCATTCTATTCTATTTCTAAGCTTTGTAACATGATAGTTTTTCGTTAATAACCTTTTGAACCTCATCACTTCGCCACGAATTTTACTTGTCTAAATGTCTTTTCTCTTGAAACTTCTTTGACCTCTTTCGTAATACAATCAACCATCACATTCCACATAACATTAACTTTGTTCACAAAATTTCATTTTTATTCTTTTATCAATTTATTCCTAAATAAGTCTAAGTCTGTTTTCTCCCTTTTTAAATTCCATCATCTATTTCTTGGGCGCCTATTAATTTTTCTCCTTTTCTCCCATCTCTTTACACAAACATCTGAAGCCATGAGCTTATGTTGCGCGGTGAAACTCTCTTTAGGGATAACATACAGTCTTTACATGATGGTTATTCTGCCTTCTTAACTTGAGAAAAGTCTCTTCGGCTTTTAGAATATTGACTTTTGTAAGTTATTAAATATTTATCTTGCTTTTTAAAGCAGATGTTTGATATTGTTAGGTTGTAAATCGTAGCAAAATCAAGAATAGCATCATCCATCTCATTTGTTTCATATTCTCTACTTTCTTTCATCTGTATCTGTCATTATACTTCCATCATCTCTATTATCCAAAGTTTACATCCATTAATGTCTTTTGCTTTTTGGCGTTTTCCACTTAGTTTCCTATAAGCAAGCTATGTTAACTCTCCTTCGTCTCATTGTTTCCTATAAGCAAGCTTTTGTAGACGAATCCTATTCTCTTGTACTAGCTCCTTTATTTACGTTTGTCTAAAATGGCATGGGAACCCTTGCCTATCTATTACCACAACCGCCTTGTTGCAATTCATCCCTTCCAGAGAATTCCCTACGTAACCACCCTTGCTCATTTTTCACTGTAGTTGGGTGCCAATATAGCGCATCGCTTATAGGGCACTCCTTGCATGAACATATAACATTGGATTAGGATTCTTGATAGAGATATAGCAGAAGTTTTACGTTGGCTGACAACCTAACACAACTTTCCTTTCTCATTCAGGCTTGGGATTGGCAATGGCAGAGTTATTTTGGAGACTTGATCTTCTTTATTGTTTTGATTAGATAAATATAAACTTCAAAAATGTGCATGAAATTAATAAATTATCTACGAACTCAGTCAATTAGGATATAAATTGATTGTCTCTAGCTCATCATCATGTAGTAGAATGCAGTAAAACATTTTGTCATGGCATGGGGAATCCAACACCCCAGACCTGTGTTAGATATTAATACACATACCCATGGGCATGTAGTAAATAATTTCTATCTAATTAATTTTTTGCTGCATTTGTATGTATTCATATTCTCGATACCCTCACTGACTTAGAGTTGTGATTTCAGGGAGGGAGTGTTGGTCACTTGCATAAGTTACTTTCTATTGAAGCAAGCTCACAGGTGCTGCCATATTCTGTTTGTCTAGTTTCATTTTATGCTGCGCAAATATGATAAAATGATTTCAAGTTTGAAAGTGTTTCTAATTTCTTTATGTTAAAAGGAGTCCCTAAGCATCTTTAACTATTACATGGATGGTTTATTGGGGCATGTGATATATTTTTGCTTTAAAATACGACGAGTTTTGAATTCCAGATGCAGGTGACATCATAACTGGCCTTTCTTATACTCATGACAATCTTATGAAGGCAAAGCCTAGTTTCTTTTTCTCTCCTTTTTATGGTGTTTCTGTTTGGGGCCCTGCCTTAAACATATGGATGCTGGGAGTGCTCAAAAGCTGGAACAATATTGCAATGTATGTAACATTTCCAATGACTGGTGGAAAGAAACTGGTATCAATAACATAACAATATAATTTTGTGTTTTGACCCTTTTTTTGGGGTCGTGTTATATTAGTTTGTTAAATTAATAAAGGTGTACAACTATTGGGACCACATCTATAATGTTGACCAATCCAAAGCTGATTGCTATCCTTATGAAGACCCGTATTAGACAGTCCATCTGCTACTGGATTTACGAATCCGAAGCTGATTGCTAATGGATAGAAGTTATCTTAGGAAGTGAACTTTCAGGTTTTGGAAAGTAAAATTCTTTTAAAAAGGGATGGGACGTCTCATTGTAAGAAGCATGGTTTTTGTTTTGAATGAAAGAATGAAAATTCATTGCAGAGAGAGAGAGTGTGTGTTTTCTCTTTGGGTGATTTTCACTGCATCACAAGGTTCACTTGGAAGTCTTAAAACGTATACTTCCATATATCAAAGGTACGATTAATCAAGGCATCACATATAATATAAATCATATAGAAGAATTGTATGTTGCTTCCATTTCTGGATACCTGGATGTCAATTGGGCAGGAGATCTTGACTCACACAAGTCAATTTCATGATGCTTTTTGGCATCCTGGAGGAGCAAAAAGCAAAAATATATAACCAGATCGAGCACAAAAGCTGCATACAGAGCATTGGCTAGTATTGTAGTAAAGCATCTTGGATTTAGAACCGGATTTTATTTCTTGGATATGAGGTGCAGCACTCAACAATTTATTATGATAATTGGAGGCCACTAACTATCACGACTAATCCTATTTTCCATGATTGCGCTAAACACATCGACATCCATATCATTTTGTGCGCAAGAAAATAGAATATGAGGCTATTCAAATAGGACATATTGGGACCGAGAATTATACTGCTGAAATGCTCTCCAAAATAGGACTATGAGAATTATACTGCTGAAATGTTCTTAATAATATCACCCTGATTTCTGTATTATTCTTCTTCTTGTGAGATATTCTTTATATTGTTTATGTTAACCTCCATGAATATGCACTAATTAATGTATCGAAATCTACCACATTTTAGGTTCTATATGTTGGGGATCATATCTATGGTGATATTCTACGCAGCAAGAAAGTTCTTGGTATGTCTCCAATTATGTTGAATCTCATAAATTTTTACTCACTATTGTATTGATTCTTGAATTTATGTATTGCTCTGCAGAATTTACTGTTGAAAAATTGTAGTCGACTTGCAATTTTATCATGATACGGTAGGCCTTAATATTTGGCTATTCTTCTCGTTGTTACTGTATAAAGTATGACGTGTAATTAATCCATTACGAGGACAAAGTGTATTTATTGTCATGGCCAAGCACTAACACTATATAATGCAAGGAGATGGTGCAAGGACGATCCACTCTTCTCTTACCTCTTACGTTGTTTCTGGTTGTTCCTTTTCTGCCACACGCAGAGCCCTAGTTCACCTGGTCAATCTAGGATTTCATATTTTTTGTGAACATGTTAACATAATCTAAGATTTCATATTTACATGTAACGTACAACAATAGATACAAGAATACCCATTTACAGTATCACATGCGATAATGATGGTTTTTAATTGGAAGTTGGAGTGATATGCAAGGACAATGAAATTATTGGGCACATACTGATGTGAATCAAAGGCAAGAGCAGTAATAAACAAGGAAGTATGCAAAAACTAGCAGTACGTGTTCTCACAATAAACAAATATTTCAATTTTCGACTAGAAATCACACATACTTTCAAATCCTCACTGGAAAAAGGAGAACAACAGCTGGATTGAAGAAAAGACGTGTCCTCGGGCATGGACTCACTGCGATATGGTGATTGGGGTGATCTAGGACTTTTAGATTCAACATTTTCACTCCAAATCTGTTAAATCCTGGCTAAGAAGAGCCGTGCTCTTAAGGCAATCTTCCAAAACTAAAGGTCTGCCTTTCTTCCCTTGAAAGTAGTATCTAACATATCAACCAAAAAAAAAAGGTAAAAATTTAAATGAAATCCTAGCCATCCCTGTAGTTTAATCTCAACCTTTAAATCCTAACTTAAGTTAAACATTGCTAAATACCACATATAACCCTTAATGTGAAACTAAATCTCCAAATGTCCAAAACAATATCAAACACAACCTTTCACATGGAACCTAAAATTTCAAAATAGTACCATATCTCTCCAAACACTAAGATACCTCAAAAGAGAAGAAATAGGAAAATTGGGCCACCCTTTTGGGTGTTCAAACCCAACTTATTTTTTGTCCTTTTGCCTTATAATCGTCCCCTTGGAAGGAACTCGCCTTCATGCAAGCTGTCATTTTGCAGCTTGACACTTCTTGGCATCTATCTCCATGAAGTCCTTTTCATTTGTCTACTTTTCTGAATTAGGTTTCCCACCCTCTTGATTGTGAGTGTATAAGAAACCAATACACTAGAGAGAGATGCAAGAGTACACAAAACTATGTATACAACTTTTGAAAATTTCAACAACTCTCTTAAATTTCAATACTTAAAATGAAAATCCAGCAAGGTAGTTGCTGTAATTAGAGTACAAAGGCTTCAAAATACATTCATGAATAGAGGATACAACTCTATTTGGGCCCCCTTACACATCAACCAATCTATTCTTGTTGATGGAACACAAGACTAGACATATACAATCCACTCTTTAAAATTCAGCAACATACGACTTCACAATGCCAAATTGTACATCAATTGAATCATGAATATACATCAAATCAAAACCACACATACATGAATATGTGATTGCTCAAGTGTAGTGCGGAACATAGCCATGGGAAGCCATAGGGAGCTCTCTTTTGCCTGGATTACTGTCTTAGGACTTAACTATGTGCCAATGGGAGACATGCGATGACTAGTCTTAAAATCGGTGTCAATTCATCATCTGTCAAAGGGAAGCTGAGCATCTAGACAAGTATTCATGAAGCATGGAAGGTATTCTCATAAAAATTTAGTTCACTCAAAGAGGGGAAATCGTGAGACTGATCCGGATGCCAAAATTGCAAAACTGGATCTAGTTCTCTCTCATAGCTCTTATAGAAAAATCAGCATAGTATCTCCATATGCAATTGAACTTTTCATGGTATAACAAGACAACTTAGCTCACTGATTTGAATTGCAAAGAACTCAGAAAATTCAGCAAAAGAACAAGAAATCCATAATCAAATCAAAGGAACACTATCTCAATTTACTCATGGATTGAGCACAATTGAGCATAGCTGATCTAACAAGCAAATGAAAGATTAATGGACAAAAGGATGATCATAGATCTTCATGACAGGCTGCTGGACATGAAGAAACACAGCAGAGAAATGAAGCATAGGAATGGACATGATGATTGCTTACTCAAGATAGAAGACCCCTTTGAATAGTTGATCACATGGAGATCACCATCAAGCTTTTCATTACCATTAATGGAGTTCGATTTCTCCTTTCAATGGGGCTGCTCATCTTGCAAGGTTGAAGATGAGTTTTCTAGAGAGAGAAACAAGGTGGGGCGTGCCACTTTTAGAGGCCTTTATTTGTGAGAGAAACTAGTGAGTGAAAATGACTTGCAATGGGGTATTTATAGGCACTTTAAGTTACATGGAAGAGATGCTTCTAGAGATGTTGGTGTACATTTTTATTTTCGTTATTTAGTAATCAATTTAGGACTGAGAATATTGGGGGATTAAATTGGGATTGAATTAGTGTTATGAGTGGTTAGAGCGAGATATTTGTTTATTCTTGTTGGCATGGGTTTGTCAATTGGTTAGCTGGCATAGTTGGGTATTCCATGATTTTAGGAATGACGGTTGGAATTGTCATTTGTCGTCTTTTCTTTTCTTTATTTACTTAGTTACCTTAAGTGGAGATCACATGAAGGCTTAAGCAAACGGGTTTTCTAATCCTATAATAGTGGATCTAAGGTAGAGAAAGAAACAGAAAAGAGAGAGAAAATGGAAGGAATGCAAGTGGGATCCATATATTTGGGGACTAAGGAGGTGCATGAGTCTTAGAAGAATATCTCTTAGGTACTTTTCATTTTTTATGTTCTTTTTTTGGTAAGCTTGTATAAAATTAGGGTGGGACAGCACATTAGGGAGCTTATGTTATTTGGACTTAAAGCTTTTCTGAAGAAGGAAAAATGTTTCATTTCTTGGCTTTACTTATATCCATACATTTCTCCTTTTTGTTGCTGATTCGTGTGCATTCTAAGATCAAAAGGAGGGTTGATTTAATTTCCCGCAGTCCTTTCACATCAAGTGGTATCAGAGCACGATTTGAACACAGTGAGAGATTACATGGCTGGTTGTGGAGGTTGTGAATGTAGGAATGCCTATCCAATCCGAGTATGAAATAAAATTGACAACTTGACGGCCAAAAATGCTCAAGGAGAAGAGATCTATGGGGTTGGATCCAAATCATGAGGGTTTTTGTAGGGCTCGGCACGAATCATTGCCTAAGTTTAAGTAGGAGCAGATTGATGACATGTCAAATTACATAGTTACATAGATGGGTTTGACGAGAGCATTATTCTGCAGAAGAACAAGAAGTATCTGATCTTCAATTGGATCTAATATTCTTTGAATTAGTGAATGGTCTTATCTTTGATAGTGATTTTATTTTTGATAAAGAACCTGGTGACTGACAAAATTGTTCCCGAGATAATGTGAATTATTGGTTTCTTAGCTCCCGAAGGAAGTAGTAACAAGAACAATATTGATGGTGGTGGTGAAGAGATAAAAGATGAAGAGGTTGGCAGCGGAGACTCTGTTTGGTTTCATGTTCTATCTGTTGGATACATATCGAGTTCTACTAATAGAAGTGTTATTATATGCCCAGGAACTTCACTTTAGCTTCTTCATTAAAAACATATTTACTTAAAAAAAGGAAATGTGCTTGGGTCAAGATGGTAGAGGCATTGCCCAACATCTCAAGTTCCATTCCTATGTAACCTTGTCCAAAAAAAAAAAATATTTGCTTAAAAAAAAATCAAAATATTATAGGAAGGGGATGCACTACTGCTAGCTAGAGAACTAGACAAAATTGCGTAATTTTTTTTCCTTAGTAAATTGGTTATGTTGGAGCGTATTTTCTAATTTGATACTTATTGTTAATTAGTTTTTTGCACTCAAAATATGAGGCCTTCGGTTCTTTTTACTAGGTTGGCGAACAATGCTTGTTGTTCCTGAGCTTGAAAGAGAGCTGCAACTTCTTTTGGAGACCAGAGAAATTCGCAAGGTGCAAACTGATTTATGTTGTAATATATCTTGGAAAAGCTTAGTGTCTCTGTGTTACAATTGTGTTTTTGCTCTTTTCATAGTATTGGGTTCTTTGCTAACCTTAATGTCTATCATTAAGTATAAATGATTTGCTTGTTTATGTCACTTTTTTGTTTGAATACTTTGTTTTTGGTTTGTTTATTTGACCTTTTCTGTGTTACATGGGTGCTTTGCACTTTCATTTGATATTGGAGACTGATATTTTTATCAGCCTTTTGGCTTTGAAGTAAGAGAATAATATGTTTGTTATTCTGAATTATGTAAGACTTTGAACCTTCAAAAACTATCGGAATTTGTTCTTCTATCTGTAAATAGTTCTAGTATTGTTGTTATCATCATCATTCGAGCCTTACCCAATTTTTTGGGGTCGGCTACATGAATCCTGTTCTGCCATAGGTTCATGATTCATGAAGAGATGTGACAAAGTTTTACGCTGGCTGACCTACCTAACATAACCCTCCTTCTTTAACTGGGCTAGGGACCGGCCTTGGTAGAGTTTTGCGTGATGAATAGTTCTAGTATGAAAGCCAAATTAGTAAATCAATGTTTTGCATCCTTTTATCTTGTCCACTTCTGGCAACTAACATTCAAAATCTCATGTTTACTAGAACTAAGCCATGATACAATGCTGCATAAGGCTACATTCTGGCTGTATATTTTATAACTTGTGAACATTCGTTATTATCAATTGATATTATAAAGATAATTTACAAGTGGTATGTCTCTTGAAGATTGTAGGCCACGTTTCTTACTTGTGAATGCTCCTTTCAATATCTCTATGAATCTATTATCTTAGGTTGTCTGATCTGTTATACGTATTTGTTAGCCCGTCAATTATTTGTGTTTCTGTCTTTCATTCATATGCTGTAATTTGTAATTTGCTCAGTTCACTTGTGGGGTTTCCGTATCACAGTTGTCTTGTTTGAAGGTTGTTATTTATTGGCCATGTTGGAGTTTGGGAGCATAATTTCACAAGTAATTCCTTGTTTACTTAGAAGCTCTTATATTGGCAAAACTATTCACAACTTGCCTATTTTTCTTTGCTTGCGCCATTTAGATGCCATCTTTAATCTATCTATGATTGTTTGTAGACTTTTGAAATCCTCGATGCACTATAGGTCCATCGACTCTACTCCATCAAACCCCATTAGGTGCATCAACTTGGCTATTGACTGTCCTAGTCTTGGAATATACACCTTTGCGGAGCAATGCCACCTTTAGTTTGTCCGTCTGAGCGTATGGAGTCTTATTTTATGATATTGGGCCTTTGTTTCTATTTTCTTTTCTTATGGTATACATGTTATCTTGGCTTTCCAAATTATTTATGCTGACCTACGTTTTAATTTTAGTAATGTATCCAACTGAATTGACCTGCATAGGGATAATATTGTAGAACATTTTCCTCCATATCTTTTTCTTATGGTTCATTTACTGGAAATTTATGAATTATTTTCAGGAGTTACGTTTGTTGAGAAAAGATCGTGATCTTGTTGAAGACAAAATACATCATTTGGATTGGTCTCTCAAGTATGCTATCACATCTAAAGTTTGTATTGTAATCTTTAAGCCTGAATTTTGTACTATGAAGTCTGTTACTTTCATAAAGGGTAATCTGATGGCTTTCATTATATGGATAAAAATTGATTTTCAATATATATATATATATATATATATATATATATATATATATATATATATATA